CGGATCTTTCAGGATCATGTTGATCTTTTTACAGAGAGCGATGAATACCTCTTTGGACGCTTTAGGCTCCCACGAGCGGTACTCATTGAACTTTGCCATGATTTAGAACCAGCACTTCGGAGTCACACACATCGGTCCAACCCTGTCCCCCCACACGTGCAGGTACTATCGACCCTCGGGTTCTTGGCCACTGGAACCTTTCAACGGGAGCTTGGGGACAGGGTGGGCATATCACAGCCATCCATCAGCCGCGCTCTCCCTCGAGTTGTGGATGCAATCATTCAACTGGCCCCACAATACATTAAATTCCCGTACTCAGCAGAGGAGCAAGTCTCGGTGAAAATGGGCTTTCATCTGATTGCTGGTCTCCCAAATACAATTGGCTCAATAGACTGTACACACGTGCGCATCAAGGCACCCTCTCCAGACTCCTTCCCATACCTCAACTGCAAACACTTCCACTCCATAAATGTACAACTCATCTGCGACTCTAATAACCACCTCCTGAATGTAGTTTCCCGGTTCCCAGAAGGAGCACACGACTCCTATATATTTCAAAACAGCTCCGTGGGAACACGCCTTGAACAAGGAGCAGTTGATGACGCATGGCTCATTGGTAAGCATATTTTAATTACAATTTCCAACAAGTGTAATATCGTCATCATTTCCTTTAGGCGATCGAGGATATGCCCTGGCCCCTTGGCTGATGACACCACTGACAAACCCTCAGACTCCTCAGGAGGTGTCATATAATGACAAGTATGCGCGCACTCGCTCCATCATTGAACGCACCATCGGCATACTGAAGGGACGCTGGATGTGTTTGGACACAGCAGGTGGAAAATTGCTGTATAAACCAGAGAAGGTAAGGCAACTGATTATTTTATTTACCTATTACGAGAATCACCTAGTTTAGATTTATTTAAATTCCTTGCAGCTAATTTTATGGCTCTCCCTCACCATTACAGGTCTGTAGGATAATCATGGCCTGCTGTGTCCTGCACAACATCGCGATGAAGCGTGGTGTGCCACTTCCCCCTCAGCCACTACACCGTCAGGATGTGCGCCCTGATGCAATGCTGGGACCAGACTGCAGGCACGCAGTTCATGTTAGAGAGCAGTTAATTGCCCGTTTGTAAATAAAGTGTAAATATTATGTTGAATATAAGTCCACTGTGATTCGCTTCAAATATTAAGACAGACCAGTTCCAGTGCACACCTTCATTTATTTTTGAGCTGCTCATGCAAATCTTTGAGCGTCTGAGATATGGTTCCCAGTGTGGACGCAATCTTCTCCAGGGACTCGGCAATTTTCTCCTGATTCTGAAGAACCGCGTTCGAGAGCAAGCGTGGACGTGGAGAGGCACGAGTGCGGGTGGATTTGCTACAGGAGGGCGCTGTCGGTTCTGGATCGGGGTCTCTCGGGGACTTCATCTGTGATTAAAGGAAATACATAAATTTATTACAACTCAAGCCAAGGTATATATTGAATTAACATAGGGAAGAGGGGTAGGATTAAATAAGCTTGGCTTCTGCCTACTCCTTTTGAGTTTTCTTTGTTTTCTTTGTTTTGTTCTGTCTTTTTTTTCTTATACATTTATTCGATGTTCAAATAAACACAATGAATAAAAAAATAAAAATAAAAAGTCCAAAAAAGGCCTTATTTGGGTTACACACTATGGTAGACTCCACCCTTACCGGGGAACACGCTTTAAGTATAGAAATAAAAATAGAAAAAAGGCCCGAATCAAAACATATTTAAACAATTTACCTTCAGATTCAACTGGAATGGCAGCGGCACAGGGAGGGGATGAACGCGTTGCATCTGGGCCCAGGTCTGTGTCCAGTGACTCAGTTTATGGTACACCTGAAAAGTGAGAATATTAATTAATTAATATGATTAAATACAGTGACCTTGATTGTTCACATAGCCTACCTGAGAGTGCCGTCTCCCCGATGATGGCCCCAATGCGCTGATCCAGATCAGACATGGGCATGGTGTTTGCTGCCCCCCCTCCAGTCCGTTGCGTCTCCCTCCGGTGTTTGGCTATGTGTCTTTTTGTTTCGGATTTCAGGTCGAACCACTTCTTCCTGACCGCCTCTATGCTGCGTCCCTCTCCTGAGACCGCATCCACCGCACGCCATACTGCCTCCCTATTAGTGCAACCTGCACTGAGGCTACTGAATAGAGTCTTCTTCCTCCTCGTGACCTCCAGCAGCAGGACTTCAAGTTCTGAACTGCTGAAGTTCTTTTTCCTCTTCACTGGCTGCGCTCCAACGGACTTGCTCTTCGCTTTTGGCATTTTGCTGTTTCCTGAGTGGGGTCTGCACACGGCCCTGCAGTCCCTTTTATGGGCATTAATGGGCGGTTACTTATGCTAAGTACCTATGCTAATGAAGCACCTGGCGCACGCGCTGTACTTACGAGGAAATGGGATTCATCAATCTAAGTGAACAGCTGCGAACAATTCAGCTGCTTACGAGTGCGTTGATGAATCCCACGTAGGGACTTCTTAGAAATCTACTTAAGGACAACTTGAGAAGAAATTTGAGAAGTTTCTTACGAAGTTATTTGTGAATGAGGCCCAATGTCATTGTGTGCGTTTGCATCCACTATTCTCTTTACTGTGTGGCACCATCAAACCACCCTTCAGATTACCCTACCTTATTTCTGAGCCATTTTTTCTGTCAACCGTGTCAAATCCCTTTGTCTGTCTAGGTAAAAGAAGAAGAATCATGAATCAGCAGGAGATGACCACCGTCAGGAGAGAAATTCAGGATGAAGATCTGAGGCAATGCGTGCACAATGAGCTGCTACGCACACCTGGCGCCCCTGTCATTATACTGGGAGATCTAAACCACTGTCGCCTTGAGGGGGCCCTACCGGGGTTTCATCAATACGTCAAATCCACCACGCGCAAGGAGAGGGTGCTGGACAAATGTTACGGGAGCATAAAAAATGCTTACACTGCAAAACAACTGCCCCCAATTGCCAACTCTGACCATGTCACTGTTCACTTATTGCCCACCTACCGAACTGCTCTAAAATCAGCCAAGCCTCAGAAAAAGACTGTACTACAGTGGTCTTAAGACGCTATAAAGACATTAAAGGGGTGTTTTTTATGCACAGACTGGGGTCTATTTCAGAACTTGGGTCTCAATGAGGCAACGGAAACAATCACAGATTATACAAAATTCTGCATTGACAATGTGGTTCCCAAGAAACAAGTTCTGCACTATCCCAACAACAAACCACATATTACCAACGAAGTCAAAGCTTGCATAAACAAAAGGAATTTGGCTTTCAAAAACAAACAGCGTTTAGAGGCTGCAACTGCCCAAAGGGAACTTACAGTGCCTTGCGAAAGTATATATATATATATATATATATATATATATATATATATATATATATATATATATATGTATGTATATATATATATATATATATATATATATATATATATATATATATATATATATGTTTTTTTTTTTTTTTTTGACCAAACAGACTTTAAAGCACTTCTGCACTTTCCTCTAATTGTTCCTTTTCTTTCTTTTTCATTCATGCAGATTCTTGTAGCACTGTATCCTAAAGCAAATTTCCCTTGGGACAATAAAGTTTATCTTATCTTATCTTATCTTAACCGAGATCAACCGGGATTCACATGTCCAGTTGCTGCTCGAAGATGCCCGAGAAGCAAGGGAACTAGAGGCTTCCCTAAGGAGTGAAGAGAGCTCCCAGAATGCTGTCTTTAATCAGTCCTTTCTTGGTGTTCTCGCACAGCTTGCACAAGCCATAAGCGCTAATCGTAACGTTAGTGGACTACAACCTTTATAGTATAAAGAGTTTAAGCTAGATCATACAGAATGTTGTTAATTTAATATTAATATTTCTCTATAATCTAATACAATATATGATGTATATAGAATGTATATTACTTGATTTCTTTGTTTTGGAAATTAAAATGTTTTCACTTATATAAAAAAAAATTGTACAGCAATTTGTATCATGTACTATGTGAATAAGTGGTATTTCTTTCAAACCGTGCAGTAACAAGAATTCTGCTTTACTTTAAGGTTAATTTGCGACCATCAGTGGATATTCATATGCAACGTTTTTAACTTGCAGTCACTTATATATAAAAAAATCTTTAAAGAACACATTCTGACCAACAATATATTGATAAGACAGAAACAAAATTATGCAATTCAAAAGAAACTCTTGGAAACTCTTGGACTCATGAACACTTCATAACCTGTCCCCCCCGCCCTTTAGAAGTCCCTTTACTTCCCATCATACGTCACTTTACTTCACTTTACTGCTGCACCGTATATTGTGTGCACCATGTGCACTTGTATATTGTATAAAGTAATTGTAAAATTCTATTTTAAATGTATTCCTTAGAAGTGCTTTTTATTTATTTTTTATTTTTTATGCCTTCTCTACCCTTTACCTTTCTCTGACTGTTGCACTGAGCCAAAGCAATTTCCAAGTTTGCGACTTCCTGTTACTTACGTGACAATAAAAATGATTCTAATTCTGATTCTTAAGTAAGCAAAATAACAAAACACGACTGTCACATTTTACTTTTGTGCACAAATAACATGCATTGTCAATGCAAGCGAAAATGTTGGTACCTGAGCTTTAATTCAGTGAGTTTTGGCTGCGCTTCATGAGGAGACATCGGCGAGACATGGGGGAGAGACAGGAGAGACATGGGAAAGAGATTGGCAAGATTTGCACGTGCAACCAGCTGAGGATGGTCCTGATCACGCGTGTATGATTCTGCCCGCGTGTCTATGGTCCGCAGTACATGACCATGTTACGGCTGCGCGTTCGCTGAGCTGTGTCAAAGTGGCCACAGTTGCTCCCGGGGCCAGAACGGAGGATGTTAATCCCGTTCAAGTACGTAACGCAAACAACTTCCCTGGTCTATAATGTCAATTTATAGATCATCTTATCCATTAATCTCCTTTAACAGTGGTGTCAGTCGTACCCTGTGTCCAGCGGCGTCCCGTCCACCCACTTCCACTCGTCCTCCGTATGTCCGTCCGATATCCCGATCCAGAAGACGTTCCAGTGTCCACGAGGAAGACGGTCCCAGATGAAGGTCTGAAACCACAAGAGATATCCTGCTTATCGAAAAGGACACAATCTGTGTGTTCCAAAGTTCACACACACAATACAGTCACTTATTACAATTCATATATACAGTATATACACAGTATGTTCAACTTTCCTGTACCCCGACACTCCCCAAAGGACACCCCTGGGGGACACGGTGGAGCACCCTCTTTAGATCAAAGCACATGTGGACTGAGGCAAACTCCCTCTGATCTTCAAGTACTAGATGAAGGCTATTGTTCTGGGGTATTGGGGTATTCAACTTGGCCCTCAAAGGGCAGTGTCGGTGCAGTTAGTCAGTCTAACAGGAGCACAGCAGACTCCACCTATTTCATCAATTCTCCAGGTTCAGAACTGACAGAAGAGTCAGGGTCTTTGAGGACAGAGTTGAATAACCCTGGAGTTTGGTCTGCCAGTCCAAACCTCTCTTATTGTCACCCAATGTTACAAAGAGAGTCAGCCAAGACAGCCGCACAACATCCAGAGAGTAGAAGTCCCGTTTTCTTCCTCTGGCAAAGCTTGGGCAGCAAAGCACTTAGTCTGCTGGTACTGGACAGCCGCCTCAGGAGTCCCACAATCATCTAGACTTGATAGCACTCTTTTTCAGCTCGACAGGTATGCCACTGGGAATAGAACCAGAGACTTGAAATTACAGCTGTAAGCTGCTACATTGACAATTAAGATGGAGCATACTACACCTCAACCACCTCCTCCTTGTCCAAAAAATGGAAGAAGCTCTCCTCCTCTAGGACTTGGGGGAAGCTCTGTCTAACAGGTGGCTCAGTGAGGTGTTCCCAGACATCTACAAAACTCTTGGACCATGTCTAACTGGCTTTTCCCCCAGCCAGCTCTTATCTGCTCCGTCCCTCAATATTTAGCGTAGTTACCTGTTCCTCTGGTGATGTCACAATGGCCAGATGTCCTCCTTGGCTCTGGCAGTATGTCTGACTGCTGCTCCAGCTCTTTATCTGTTTGGAGATGAAGTAACAGCTGTCCCCGAAGAGCAGCCAGTCTGAGGGGCACGTCAGGGGAACGGTAGAGGGCTTGCCCACTGCAACACAAAACATTAACCTCCCATCACTGTACTGACCACACAACATTCCATGGCCTGTTGAGGTCTCAGACTGCCCTAGTCAGTCCCAGATACCTGGAGTGTTAAGTCTCTCCTGCAGTTGCTTGTTCTCCTCGCGCAGTTTGCTGATGGTGGACATGAGGTCAGACATGTTAAATTCCTGCTTTTGCTGTTCGGTCTGAGGCGTCAGGTCTCCACTTGCTGCATCCTTCTGCTCTGAAACAACACAACAGAAAAATCAAGTTTATATACAAATCAGACAACAACATGCTGTCTACATCTCATTAAAATCATCTTTTAAACTTGATGAGTTTATAAGTCTGATTTACATCTTTCCTCAACGATTGTGTTGTGTGAGTTAAAACAGTTAATACTAGAACTCCCAGAATTCTGAAAAGCCCCTTTTCCACCAGCCCTTCTCTACTGTACTCTACTTGACTTTGCTCTCCCTGTTCATGATACATTACACTTTAGTATTGGGGACCATGTCATAGAAACTGTCAAGTGCACCTCAAACCATATAGCTTTCCCTACTTGAATAGGAAGGACTCTGACACCACTTTAGGCCGGTTTCACTCAGTGTATTAAACATTTTCAGCAAACAGCAGGTGAAAACCTTTAAACAGAAAGCATTCATATGATTAGTAAAAATAAGCGTCGAACTGCATGGACTGCACGGACTGTGCGGCAGAGGCGCAAGAGCAGAAAATCGACACGCAGGAGATACATTTTGCTGAGCGTTTCCTCAGGACGCTCGTGCAGCGACCAATCAGAGAGCCGCAAAGTGCTCACGGGGACATTGGCGGCCTGAGCGAGCAGACTGAACATACTCGTAAACAGCCAAAACAGGACCTACACCAGGACTAAAACCAGGGTTTACAATGGGGGACATACAGTAGTGCTTGTGAATATATGTGTTGTCATGCTCTTGTGACTTTAAGCAACTGCTTCGAGCGTGTTCGCTGATGCAGAAGTACCGTTTAATAATAAAATAAACGTATGGCACACCTCCGTGAACACATACTACTGTTATATAAAGTCTCTGGAAGGTCTCTGGACACGGAGACACAGCAGAGCTGCATTATTGGAGAAGAACTTTACACAAAAAGTCACTAGCTTAACTCTTTTAGCATCAAAGTCTGCCCGCTACTTCCGCCACTTCCGGCTGGCGCCACCAATGGCCAGGACTTTGGGTGTGCGTACTATCACTTGAGTTAAGCCTGTGTACACTCGCGCGGCGCTGCTTATGGTTGCGGTTACGTTGGACCTACGTAACCACAGTTAGTGGTACACTTGCGCGTTCCCCTCGCGGAGTTTTGAAGAGAATGTTGTAATCCCACAACCAACCACGTGATGGCGATCTCACAGGAGAGGTCCCATTTACGCTGCTACTTTCTCCTCTTAGGAACAAAAACAATAGCAAACCGAGATGTTTGAGCTCATTACATGTGTTTCTACTGTAGGTTTATGTGACAGTTCTATGGACTCATCGTTTCAACTCATTTAACTGTGATGTTGTGAACAAAGACACAGTTCTTGATGGAAACATAGTTATTATTAAAGTGTATTAAGCACAAACAGCAAAACGATAAGTGGCAAATATCTGAGACAAACATGAACGATTTACAAGTGCAGGAGGAATACAACAGACGCGATAAGCTACGGGTGCAGATTCAAACAAACAGGAACAGTGCAAAAGTAACGACTGCACAGTTGATAAGTTATATATATGTTAGATTTACAACAGAACTCTAGTCCACAGTCTCAGCGTATATCAGGCTCTGAGCCACGAGCCCAAACTGCTTTTCCTTCGGTTCCTTCGAAGCACGTAGCAGTCTGCTCCGATGTGACTTGTTCATGTTCCCTGGGTCGGCACTAGATCATATACAGAATCGGGACGAAACCGGAAGTAACAATCCTACTTTCGAATTAGTTTTATACTATTAAGTCCTTAAGTGGTGACTGGTTAAGTTTTAGGTGTCTGATTAAGATGGTTAAGGTTAGGGTTAAGGCTGGGTTGGGGTTATTTTATGGGAATGGCTTGTTAAGTTTAGGCATAAATAGGCAGTTTGTTATATTTACTTCTGCTTCCGTCCGGCTTCCGTCCCGATTTCTTATATGATCTAGGCCCAATCCCAATACCCACACTGCACCCTTCACACCTCTATGAAGTGTGCAGTTGTTCGAAGTGCACACAAGGGTTTGAGTGCGCAGGTTACAAGTGTGCAAAAAAGGTAGAATTGGGATTTTTTTTTTACTGCAAATGGCAAATAAATTGAATCTGAATCTGACGGAAATTAACGGAAATTCATCGCGCTAAAGGAGCGCCACATCAAAAAGCTTAACCGGTTACTGGAACACAAAAACAGAAAACAAAAAAAGGACACAGTTAACCCCAAATGGGTACACAACCTATCCTCACGCACCCTAACAACCACTGAAATAGAAGTACTGGCAAAAGGACTCAACTATGCAGTCACACCCGGACAGATCCCATACGAAGACTACATATTAGGTACAGAACTAGCTTGCAATAAAATACAAGACCAGGGGAAGAAGGCGGAGCTACGAAACACAATAACAGGAATCCTCAAAACAGCCAAATTACCACAAAGCAATATTAATAAGGAGCAAAGGAAAGCAATAACCGCACTACAAACGGACGAAACCATCATCATACTACCGGCGGACAAAGGACGAACCACAGTGATCATGGACAAAACGGAACACCAAAACAAGATGAAAACAATATTATCAGACAAGGACACTTACGAGATAATCCCCAAAAACCCCACAGAAAAAAAGAAACGGTCACTCAAAGCAATATTAAAACCACTGGCAGAGCAGAATAAAATAACCCCGGAGGCTTTCTAACATTTCATCCCCACAGCAAGCATCACCCCCCGGATATATGGTACACCAAAAATCCATAAACAAGACACCCCACTACGACCCATAGTTGACAGCATCGGATCAGTGACCTAACATCATTTCTAAAGCACTAGTGGACATACTCAAACCCCTACTTGGACTGACCAAACACCACAGCAAAAACTCTTCACAACTCGCACAGGAACACAGAAACATTCATATCACACAACGTCATCTCACTTTTCACAAAAACACCCGTAGACGCCACATTACACATCGCACAAGAACGACTCAGGAAGGACAGTACGCTAAAAAAACGCACTAGCTTGACAGTACAGGACATATCAGGACTCCTCAGTTTCGTCGCCAAATCCACATACTTTCAATACAATAACATCGTCTATAGACAGAAGGAAGGATTCGCAATGGGAGATCCACTATCAGCCATCATGAGCAGTTTTTTTATGGAGGATTTAGAGACAAAAGCCGTCACCACAGCACCACAACACTGCAGACCCACCCTTTGTAAACAATACGTTGACGACATACTGGAAAAAGTACGCACTGGACACACACAGGACCTCACAGACCACCTCAACACCATAGACACTACAGGCAACATAAAATTCACACACGAAGAAGAGCACAATGGAGCAATAGCCTTTCTGGACATGAGCCCACTCACACTGACCAGTACTTACTATGGACCTCAGAACACCCCACAGCACAGCACAGCACACAGGAACAGCAGCTGATAAAAGGCACATCATGTGTGACGTTGCGATACGCTTCTGAGGAAGACAGAAGTTATCCGTCGAAACATGTCAAGGTAATAACACCACCAAAAAAATCTTATATTGTCTGGTATAGAAGAACCAATACTTTTAATTCTACTAAGAAGACAAGATGAATCTTCCTAAACTACCAAGAGATGGTCATTTTCAGACCTAAATTGGGACACCCTACGCACTTGCACCCATCATCGGGAACGCGCAAATGAGGGGCGCGAGGGTGGAAGTGAGAGTATTGGGACTGGGCCCTAGTGCTGACTTGTTCTCTGCAGCCGCTCCATGCTTCCGCCCAAAACACACACACGGACCAATCACAGCGGAGCTTCCACATGGCGCGGGCTGCGTAGTTAGACATTTTTGAGGGTGCGCGGCAGGCTACGTAAGGGCTTTGCGGTAATCCACGCGTTGCGCAAGTGACGTCACGCCACCACCGTAAGCTCCGCGCCGCGCGACTATACACTAGGCTTTAGTAAGCACCTTTGCATACTTCACATAGACCAAGGGTGTCATTCATATGGCCCGCGGGTCGGAACCGGCCCACCAAGAGATTTGACACGGCCTGCGGCTCATTTATGTAAAATGATAATGATCTGTTTTTTTTTTTATCCGGCTCTGGTCCAGTGCGTCTGTAGTGGCTCCACCAGAGCGGTGCTGAAGGAATAACATCTTAAATTATGAGACTCGCCAAAAAATACTGCACTTTGAGAGGAAAATTGAGAAGACAGAAGATAAACATGTCTGGCCCTGAAGAAACAGCAGTCTGTTTGTGCCCACAGCGAGAGGTTAATGATGCTGCTGTAAAGACAAGCTACCTGAGTGCTAAAAACATAGCATTAGCCTCGCCGCACAGTGAGAGAGAGTTGTTAAAACTCTCATACAGGCTGCAGACATGGTCTGAGAAACCACGCGCTTTTATGTTGCCATTGATGAGAGACTGATGTTAGTCAGTGTGTTACTGAAACTACCACAGAGTTTTGAGCGCTGCTGCTGGTGCTGTTGGACAGTATGGACTGGTCCTGCGCTCTCAGCCTGGTACTGATGGTGAAGCAGGTGTTGTGACAAAGCCGCAAATGGAGGTGATGATTTTTGGACATTTGACTGTATTTTACACAGAGACACTGCAGTCGTTAAGAATGGATTCCGTTATGGAAGTGGTTTTGTTCATTTCAACTCTCTCTGATAAGAACATAACCAGGGACATTACCACACTGAAGATGGACCACGGTAAAGCTGCCCCGCTTTTCGCCGGCAGCTGTAAAGAGGTCCGCACATTGAAAGCGGTTGGCCCCTTTATGCTGTTACTTATGGTAAACGTGAAAAGGGAAGCAGCAGACGAGCAGACAAAATGCAATTTTTAATAAATCATTAAAAAAAAGAGTTTTGCAACTACTTCCACTGCACACTTGTTCACTGGGATGCCCTCTACCACTGTCCAAAATAACATTCTCTTTTACTGTTGAAATTCAGAGAAAATTGGGCTCAAAGTGTGCAATTTTGGTCCCAAAAGCACTTTTTAAAATTAATTTTAAAAACATCTAAACAAGTTCCCTGACT